CCCAGCAGCACCCCAGCTGCTCTGCCCCAGGCGTCCCCAAGTCAGCCGCTGCTGAAACTGACCAGCGCTGACTACAGGAAGCCCGAGGCAGAGTTGCTCTGCCCCAGGCTTCCTGGAATCAGCTGCTGATCAGTTTCAGCAGCAGCTGACTTGGGGACGCCTGGGTTTCTTAAGTTGAATCTGTATGTAAGTCAGAACTGGCATCCAGATTCAGCCATGGTTGAAACTCTTCAGTTTCAGCAGCGGCTAACGCCAGTTCCGACTTACATACAGATTCAACTTAAGAACAAACCTACAGTCCCTATCTTGTACGTAACCCGGGGACTGCCTGTATTTATGTTGAAGTGTATCAAAAAAGACAAAACAAATTCAATGGAAATCATTTTTCTCCATGTTCTAATTAAATCAGGAATACACACACACACACACACACACACACACACTTACTTTAATGGCTCCAAAACTGACTATCCGCTAATTGTAAATAATCTCATGCACCATTATAAACAGAAGCGTTAAAGGAATGTACAAGAAACACCAGAGTGGGCAGGTTACCCGATTTGCTTCATTAATGAAATGTATAACACCATCACCAGTTGAATACATTCACAGAAAGCAGTGCACGCGTGCACACTAAGTGCCTTTGCTTTATTTGATGGTATGTAACAGGTCAAATTACTGCTCAGCTACATCCTTGGTTTCAATAGGGATGCCTACATGCAACCAAGTGGAACGTGCTCTTTGTTACCCTATCTGCTGATATGGCATACAACAGGGTTCTCAAACTTCCTCGCACCACAACCCCCTTCTGTTCACAAAAATTACTATACAACTCCAGGAGAGGGGACTGAAGCCTGTGCCCGCCCAAGCCCCGCAACCCTGGGGGGGGGGACCCCAGCAAACTCATTAAAATGGAACCCACAGTTTGAGAATCGTTGGCATACAACAAACAGTGTCATGTGAAGAAAGGTAACTTGTCTGTTACAATCCCTCTAGGAATTCCACAGCCCCGAAAAAAAAGCATTCCCTAGACTCTCCGAGACAAAATAAGCTTGAAAGCTAGTCAAATTAATATGCAACTGAAAGTGCCCTTTCTAATTTCTATAACTTTATAGCCACTTTCTTATATTTCAAGTGGTTCTCTCTCAACCGTTACAGGAGAGACCCATACAAGCAGCAGGAAGAACTTTGAAACTAGCTGTCAACAAAGTGGTACCACTCTAAGTATGTTACACAGACATTAACTCAGCACTGAGGGCCTACACCCCTATGGCTGAATAGATACCTACTGGTATCCATACGGCACAGGGATCCTGCAGTTTTCCATGCAGGATTGGGGCCTTATATTGAAGGAGACAATCAGGATCAGTGTTCCATCATGCTATGTGCTGTAGACAGGATAGCATGCACAGTCCTTCTCCGCCCCCCCTCCCCCCCCCGAAAAGATTACATTTTTAAACCCCAACATTGGGGAGGTAGAGAAGTAAGTGGCATGGAGACCAACTGAAGTCAGTGGGGATCAGTTCTGTAGTGTTGCAACCCAGTGATTCACAATCCTTAAATAATGTTTCTCTTAGACAGACGCATGGGCCTCTAGGTTGAACTGAAATCACAGGCAGTCCCCGAGTTACGCGGATCCGACTTATGTCGGATCTTCAGTTATGAACGGGGCTTTTCTTGCCCCAGAGGGGTCCCGCCGCCCGCGTCCTCCGGGGCAAGAAAAGCTGCTCCACGTCTCCCTGCTCTGCTACGGGGCGGCAGGGGCCCAGCAGACCAGGGAGATGCAGAGCAAAGCCGCGGAAGACGCGGAGCGCAGGAGGCCGATGAACCTGGACCTACTTCAATTGGGAGACATGCACCCCTTCCCTGGCTGTGCCTGCTGGCCCTGCAGCCACCAAGCAGAGGTGCTTCACACATGGCCCCAAACTGCTGCAGTAAGCGAAGGCTGGAGTAGTCCGCTCTACTGAAGACAGCCTGCTCTGGTCTGCTGGGGGTGCTCCTCCCACCCCAGCAGACCAGGCTTTTCTCACCGATGACGCCTGGGGTAGAGCAGCTGGGGCACTGCCGGGTTGGTCCCGCAGCGCCGCTCCTCGGCACTACTGGACCAACCCGGCAGCACCCCAACTGCTCTGCCTCAGGCGTCCCCAAGTCACCCGCTGCTGAAACTGACCAGCGGCTGGCTACAAGAAGCCCAGGGCAGAGCAGTTCCAATTGTCCAGCTGCCTGGAGCACTTCCAGGTTCCAGGTGATGCCGGACAAGCAGGAGTGCCGGACCACTGGATGCCGGACAACTGGAGTTTTACTGTACAAGCCTTTTTTAGCCGTACTTGCTTTGTTATGATTAAAGGTTGCAAACTCCAGCTGGGTGTAAATATAAAGAAGTGCAGTTTAGCTAGCAAGCTAGACTCAACCGCAGGTGCAGCAGCAGCTGAATCTGGACGCCAGTTCCGACTTACATACAAATTCAACTTAAGAGCAAACCTACAGTCCCTATCTTGTACGTAACCCGGGGACTGCCTGTATTTCAGAGACATTTGGTGGAGGCATAAGCATCCAGTACTTTTAACTGCTCTGCAAAATCGGGACCTGCACGAGTAAATTACCTGAAAAAATTAGGAGAAAAATATTTTTTCTGGCATATTCTTTCTAGGAGAGATAACAGTGATTTGAACTTTGAAAAGGAAGAAGTAATACTTTTCTAAGAGTTGTGGTTCAGATATTGTCTGTATTTGCTGGGTTACTAAATCACTCCTTTTGTAATGCAGGTTCACAAAAAGGAGGCCCAAATTCACACCAAAAGCTTGAGGAAGCTTAACTAGTTGTGAACACAAATTTGTGAAATCAGACATCTGAGTGAAAACAGCACCTTCATTTCGGATTTAATTTTAGGCCAGGTTTTACAGTGTTTTTCTCCTGTGACTAAGGATTTTTGTCTATGTTTTGTAACAGACTTTTAAAAACCTCTAACCAAAGTCACCTTCATTTAGACTTTTCCAGCTTTGCAGCCCTGGGAAATCTGGATTGCTAAACAGGCTGTTAACTTCCATGTGCACAGCAGGTATCCGAATCTATATGTTCTGTTGACTCAGGAGTATCCCCATACGCAGAAAGGATGGGCACAAATTAGGAGTGGGTTCACTCCTATGGGCATAGGAACAGGTGAAGGTGCCAATCACACCGTGAAACTCACGCTGGCTGAAATTCGCAAAGACAAAACCCTTACTTGGGATGACCAAAACAGCACGTCTACACGGGAAAAGGGTCCCCAGCCACTTGCAGAAGGGTGACTGCTGCGCCAGGCATGCGATTTGCAGCGAGGGAGGGCCGCTCACAACCCAAGGACGTGCAGACGGATACTCCTGCAATTTCTAAGACGAGCACGACGTCCCCAGGGTATCATCCAGACAGGCCCGCCCGAGGGGGGCAGCCTGCCCCTTCCCCACAGTACCTGCCAGCAGCTTCTCCTTCAGCTGGTTGAGCACGTGGGCCGACGTGGGCCCTTTGGGCTTGTACAGGGCGAACAGCCCGCTGAGCGAGAAGAGTTTAGCGGCTGCGCTGTGGGCCACAGGCTGCCCCATCTCCCCCTGCACCTTCTCGGCCATGCTCCGGCTTTCCGCGGCGCTTCCCTGCCGCCCACGTGGAGCGCCTCTCTCCGCCCCGGGCCGCTGCAGAGCGCGCCGGGAGATGTAGTGTTCGCCAGGGCGGGGAGAGCGTGCCCGGGCTGAGCAGCTTTTCAGAGACACGGGGGGGAGAGGCACAGGATGGCAACCGCGCTGCGGTGGTAGGGGCGCCTGGGAGGGCTTGATGCTCCGTGGAGGGCAGGAGACGTGCGGTCGCCGCCTTCCCCTCTGCTCGGGATGCGATGCGCTGTCGCACAGGGGGCTCCGTTTGTACTTGTTCTTCCGCCACAGTTGCCAAAAATAGTGATAGAAATGTAGCCCTGTTAGTCTGGTGTAGCTGCAGCAAAATGCAGGACTATGTAGCACTTGAAAGACTCACAAGATGGTTTATTAGATGATGAGCTTTGGAAAGCTCATCATCTAATAAACCATCTTGTGAGTCTTTCAAGTGCTACATAGTCCTGCATTTTGCTTCAGTTGCCAAAATGTGTGTCTTGAGCGTCAGCGAGGACACAGAAGGAGTAGCCGCCCTCTTAAACTGAAACCTCTTAGTAGCTGAAACAAAAAAACAGGACTGTGTAGCACTTTAAAGACTCACAAGATGGTTTAATAGGTGATGAGCTTTCGTGGGCCAGACCCACTTCCTCAGATCAAATAATGGAAGAAAATTGTCATAACCATATATACTAAAGGATACAATTTAAAAAAATGAACACATGAAAAGGACAAATCAAATTTCAGAACAGAAGGGGGATGGAGGGGGGAGAAGGTAAATGTCTGTGAGCTAATGATATTAGAGGTGATAATTGGGGAAGCTATCTTTGTAATGGGTAAGATAATTAGCGCCTTTATTCAAATTTGAGTGTAAAGTGTCGAATTTAAGCATGAATGACAGTTCAGAGGATTCTCTTTGAAGTGAAGTCTTAAAAGGTCTTTGAAGCAGGTTATCACTCTTAGCAGCTGGGCACTTACAGAATCATAGCATCCTTAGACCTGCAAGGGACCTCAGAGGTTGTCAAGTCCAGTCCCCTGCCCTGCAAAAGGGCCAAGCACAGGGATCATCCCTAAGTTTATCTGCCCTACTCTAACATCACTCCCGTGATGAAGATTCCATACCCTCCCTGGGCAATTTATTCCAGCATCCAACCCCCCTGACAAGAAGTTTTTCCTACTCCCCAAAGTAAACTGCCCTTGCTGCAATTTAAGCCTATTGCTTCTTATCTTATCATCAGAAGCCAAAGAGAACAATTTGTCTCCCTCCTTCTTGTAACACCCTTTTAGTTACTTGAAAACTATTATCATGTGCCCTCTCTGTCTTCTCTTTCCCAAACTAAATCCAATTTTTTCAGTCTGCTCTCAGAGGTCATATTTTCTAGACCTTTAATTGTTTTTGTTGCTTTTCTCTGGACCCTCTCCAATTTTACCACCTTTCTTGAAATGTGGTGCATAGAAGTGGACACAATACTCTAATTGAGGCCTAATCAGCGCAGAGTAGAGTGGAATAATTACTTCTCATGTTTTGCTCACAACACTCCTGTTCATGCTTCCCAGAATCATGTTTGCTTTTTTGCAATAGTGTCATGCCATTGACCCATATTTAGTTATGATCCCCTAGATCCCTTTCTGCATTACTCCTAGGGTTGCCAGGTGTCCGGTATTCACCCGGATAGTCCGGTATTTTTGGCTCCTGTCTGGTAAAAAAATGCAGAGAATACCAGACACCTAAGATGTCCAGTATTTTCTGCTTTTTTCCCCAGCCAGGAGGCAAAAATGCTGGGCATCTGGCCTCCCACCTCCAGTACTCCCCCGCGGCTCCCAACACCCCCAACCTCCATGCTTACCTGGTTCGCCAAGGCAGCTGTCACAAAATGGCTGCTGGCCAAAAGACCTAGGGGAAGCTCTCACCCTGGGTCTTAGTGCTCAACCACTTACTCTTAAAGGGGACATGCTCTTTTATTTTATTTTAATTTTTTTTGGCTTAATAAGTCCTTGGAGTCCCTTTTTTTTTGCTCAACAACTTTGGTCTCCCCCTCCCCTTTTTTCCCCCTTCAACAGAATTTTTCCTGTTTTTCTGGGGGGGGGGGGGGGGGAAGGTCTAATTACTCCTTCCTAGACAGTCACTTCCCATTAGGGCTGGCCTTACCATAAGGCCAACTGAGATGGCTGCCTCAGGTGCCAAACTGTGTGTGTGTGGGGGGGGGGGGGTTTCCACTGGGACCCAGCATGTAGAAAATTGTGTCTGCTGCTAGTGCATATGTATTCTTTCTGCTCTGAAAGCTAAATGTTACTTAAAATTTTTGAACAGAGCATTTTAAGTTATTAGTTTTCCTTTATTGGGGAAGGTAGCAGAGCAGTACGATGAGAAGAATAGAACAGGAAGAAGGCAGAATTGAGACCTTTCAAAGTTTTTGCCCAAGCAAGGGGACATGGGGGCATCATTTGAGCTCCCGGTCTCAGGTGCCAAAATGTTGTCATCTGGCCCTGCTTCCCATTCTGTGTACGTGAAACTGATTATTCCTCCCTAAGTGGAGTACTTTGCATTTGTCCTTATAAAACTTCATCCTATTATCTCAGACCATTTTTCCAGTATGTCCAGATCATTTTGAATGATCTGAAAGCACTTGCAAGTCATTCCAGCTTGGTATCATTTGCAAATTTAATAATCATACTCTCTATGCCATCATCTAAATAATTGATGAAGATATTGAACAGAACTGGTCCCAAAACTGCGAAACCCTACTTGTTATGCCCTTCCAGCATAATTGTGAACCATTAAGAACTAATCTCTGAGAACGGTTATCCAGCCAGTTATACATCTAGCTTATAGTAGCCCCATCTAGGTTGTATTTCCCTAGTTTATTGATAAGAATATCATGCGAGACTGTATCAAATGCTTTACTAAATTCCAGATATACCACGTCCACCATCTCCCCCTTATCCACAAGGCTTGCAATCCTGTCAGAGAAAGCTATCAGATTGGTTTGACATGATTTGTTCTTTATAAACCCATGCTGGCTGTTACCTATCTGTGATGGGGTGCAGTCACAGAAGACCCCTTGGGAGTGCTTTCCAGTGTTCTGACAAGGCCACTGCCACTCACCTTCCTGCTCTCTGGGGCTTCTCACAGCCCTTTCCTGCTGGGCCAGCTCCCTGGTCTCCCACACTCAAGGCACAGAGCTGAGATCACTGCTCCATTCCGGAAAGATGCGGTACAGACACTGAAACTCCTCAGGTCCAAGGAAAATGCAGTGGCCGGCCCAGCTTCCCGGTATACTACTCCCCAGATGGGATCAGAACCCCAAATGAATTATTTAGGTAAGCCCCCTTTAACAATGAAAGGGGGAATGTACACAGAGATTGCTCCCCCAGGTAACAATTATTTACGCTGGGCTTGATGATAGTAAATAAAAGTGATTTTATTAAGTGCAAGCAGTGGGATTTAAGTGGTAATAAGGGAAAACAGGCAGAGCAAAGTAGATTACAAACATAAAATAACAGAAAACGCTTAGCTAATTCTAACACTAAAACCTCAGTACAAACTTACTACAAACTCACCCTAAAACTGTTCCTTTTTCAGCTAAGCCTTCAAGTCAGCACTTCCCTCTCCCTTGGGTCTTTCGTTCTTTCCCTTGGGTGTGCCACGCCAGCCAGACAAAGACAAAGACCTGCTAGTTTCCTATTGTTTTAAAAATTCCCCACTTTTTCATGGGACATTACCTGGCCAGTCCCTACCAGTTAGGGAGGTCATGTGACTTCCTAAGCCCAACCATGCTAAGACGTAAAGACAAAAGGCTATTTACGTATGATTGCCCAGACATTGAGGCATCCCAGCATCGGAAACATCTTTGATGGCTTTCCTTTGCACATTTAAACCCATAAAGCATTCCATACGCCATGGCTGTGTCTACACTGGCACGAATTTCCGGAAATGCTTAAAACGGAATACTATTCCGTTTTCAGTTTTTCCGGAAAAAGAGCGTCTACCTTGGCAGGATGCTTTTCCAGAAAAGCCCTTTTTCCGGAAAAGTGTCCGTGGCCAATGTAGGCACGCTTTTTCCGGAAAAAGCCCTGAGTGTGGACATGCAGCGGGGTTTCTTGCGCAAGAAAGCCCTATGGCTAAAATGGCCATCAGAGCTTTCTTGCACAAGAGAGCATCTACACTGGCATGGATGCTTTTGCGCAAAATTACATCTCTTGCGCAAAAGCACATGCCAGAGTAGATGCTCTCTTCTGGAAGAGTTTTTGCAGAAGAACTCTTCCACAAAAGAGTTTTTGCGTGAGAACGCGCCAGTGTAGACGTAGCCCCCATATGTCTAATTTTACACACAAGAATGATACATACACCAACATAAGATAAACAGATCCAGCGGATTATGACATTAAGATTGATAGGTTACATGGGGCAATTTGTCCAAAGCATCTTTGAGTTATGTATATTTGCATCCGTAAGTTCATTACACAAAGCATGGGGGGAGGGGTGTCCATCACACTATCATCTTATTGTGTTCTAGATGTTTGCAGATGAATTCCTTAATTATTTGCTCCATAATCTTTCCAGGCACAGAAGTTAAACTGACTTCTTTTCATTATAGTTATCACATATGTGTTTTTAAAGTGCTAAGGGCTTGAACATTGTGTTACTAACTAAATGAGAGAGAAACACCAGGTCTGATTCTCAGCCCACTTGCACTGGTATAATTTATAAATGAAAATGAACTTTGGCAAAGTCATCAGAGTTACAGCAGCATACAGAAATCAATCCTTATCTTTTTTAAATCAATTGTAAAATTCCCATTGATCTATATGGAAACAGGGATAGTACCTAAAGAAACTCAGCCAGCAGTGAAAACACTTTGGTTATGTCTACGCTGGTGAGTTCTTGCACAAGAATGGCTGTTTTTGTGCAAGAACCTGCAGAGTGTCCACACTTTCCGCCTGCTCTTTCACAAGAAGATTTACAGTACGGCGTCGGAAGACAGAGCTTCTTGCGCAAGAGCTATGCTCTTTTCTAACAGGTGTAAGCCCTCTTTCACAAGAGGGCAGTGTGGACATGCAGCGGGGTTTCTTGCGCAAGAAAGCCCTATGGCTAAAATGGCCATCAGAGCTTTCTTGCTCAAGAAAGCGTCCACACTGCCATGGATGCTCTTGCGCAAAAGCACATGGCAGTGTGGAT